AGGGACACACTGCAACTTTAGTTTTGATAAATTGTATATAAATGGGCAGCTGTATAGGCCATAATTCGCAACCTATATCTTTCTATCAGAGTCAGCATTGTAAGAATTAATTTTTTCTCTCATTTTTTCTGTTCGTTCCCTTTGGGCTCGCTTACGTTGGTTAGTCTTAGTTAAAAGACCAACGTGAGAGGCTTAAATAATGAGTGTAAAAGGAAGCAAGTCATCTTCATCCAAATCATCTTCCTCCAGGAGGTTTATAGTTCGCGAGATATAGGAAAAACGTGGTCGGCCGAATGGGGTGGTAAAGTAGTGTCTTGTTACGACACAAAAAAATTGTTGTGGTACTCTTGTCCTGTTTCACCCATCGCTCGACGTTGATGTGGAACATGTTGAAATCGCAAAGAGGGGCAGGGAAATTGTTCTGTGCTATAAAATCGATGACTGCAGATTCACTGTTATCAATGTTTATGTCCCAAAGGATGTCAAAACCCAAGTGGGATTTTTTGAATCTTTAAAACTGCGTATACGAAAATCCGCTGATGAAAACATTTACATTGGTGGCGATCTAAATTGTTGCCTAACACCCAAGGATAAAAAGGGGTGGCGACCCACTGAACAAAAGAAACAACTAATAGATTCCATTCTTAGTCTAACGAATTCTTTCAATTTAGTTGATATGTGGAGAAAATTTCATCCTAATGAATCACTTTTCACCTGGCATCACCAATCATCAGCTGTTCAGTGTAGGCTTGCTTATTGGCTGGTGTCAGAACATTTACTTCCACATGTAAAAGAATGCAACATCATTCCCGTTTCGTTCTCCGATCACTCGGCCGTCTTGTTTAACATCCAGTCCGATGATTTCATAAAAAAGGGGACCAGGATTTTTCGAATTCAATAACTCACTCCTTGATGATCAGTGCTTCATCGAGGGTTTGGGGCGAAAAAATTCCAGAGTACAAACAAAAAGACAACTATTTAGAGGATAAAAGACTTTATTGGGACATGTTGAAAATGGAAATAAGAAGCTTTACAATTTACTATTGCAGACAAAATGCAAAGACGAAAAAAGCTAAAGAAGCAGTGCTGCAGCAAAAGCTGTCCTCACTTCACAAGTTTATGTGTGAAAACCCTACACAAGTGACTACTGCAAACTATTACGAGATCAAAATGAAACTAGAGCAGATTTCATTGCAAAAAACAGAGGGCGCAATGATTCGGAGTAAGGCTAGGTGGTGTGAACAGAAAAGAAATCACTCCAATCAGTACATCACAAAACTAAGAGCTGAAAATTGCACTTTGACTTCCCCTGATGAAATCTTAAATGAAGAGCACAGATACTATAAAAGGCTCCACACTTCTTCTCGTACAAACCCAAATGATCCTCGTTTTGACGTGTTTTTCTACAGTTCAACCCTTCAAAACTGTCTCCACCTCAAGCTGACAGCTGCGACGGTCTACTAACAAAAGAACAATGTTATGTCTCACTTAAAAGTTTTTCCAAAGGCAAGTCTCCCGGTACGGATGACTTTACTGCGGAATTTTATCTTTCCTTTTGGGAGTTATTAAGGCAAGAATTAGTTGACATCTTTAATTATGCGTTTGAGAAGGTTGAAATTAAAATTTCTGAAAAGAGAGATTTCATCACTCTAATTCCAAAGAAAGATAAAAACAGGACTCTTTTGGATGATTGGAGGCCTATCTCCCTTCTGGACACAGACTATAAAGTTGCCACTAAGTCAATCGCAACTAGAATTGCGAAAGTGCTACCCAGCCTTATACACGAGGACCAGACGGGATATATCAAAGGCGTTTTTATTGGTCAAAACATACGTTTAATAGCAGACATTAGGGAACACGACGAAGACTTGGTCGAAGATGACCGGAAGTGAGACACAGTGTACTGCGCAAGCGAAGCTAGCAAATTTCGTCGTCGTGGTCTCGTGGACGACGCCAAACACAGTTCAGTCACGTCGTCCTCCTTCACAAGCTTCGGCAGGTATAAATCCACTGTTTTTAAGCGATTTTTTGAAGTTTTTTTTTGCATTTTTTTGGTCTTCGTAAATCCAGGTCTCCTTTCTTTTTTCTCCTAACAAGCGATGTTGACAGAAAATTCGGCTAATGAATTGTTTTTTCTTCGAAGAATGACAACAGCTGTACATGTGGAGCCCGAACGAGCGATTTCGTAAGTGATGAATTTATTTCATTTTGTACGTACATTTCAAGGAAAGGCAAGAGCCGTTAACGGGAAAGGCAAATCATTTATCTTTAATATAGAGGAAATTAACTTTACATGGAAAACAGCTATCGCAATGCAGCACTCAAGTGGAAATAGGTGTTTTCGTGGTGGACAAATGCACAATGAAAACGTGATTCACAGGAGTGATATGTCAAATACTTGATCCGATCAATTGATCCGAGCACCTCTTGAAACTGAACAAATTCCTCAAAGTCTGAGGGCGATTGTGCCTTATTGTCTGCCCGAAAGCCCCTGGTCTTT